CAAACTTGCGATATGAACTAAGAATTACCTACATGTTTAAAATACTGGTCTAACTGCATTCAACTATTATATATGAGTAATTGTTAGAGAATGGTATTAAGTCAAATCTCTTGAAACTGTAATTTTACGCAATAGAGTGCCAGCGCAGGAACTGATGACCGACCTTCAAATTCTCTAATTAAGACCACACACTAACAAATTTAGTTTATTACGGGAAATAATCAGTGTTATGCATTATATACACTTTTATATGATTCGAAGATAGGAAAAGTGAGATGTCGTCGTAGATATAATAATAAACCATATTAAGGGTAGTGAAAACTTTCAAAGGGAAACTATGAACGTGAAGCAGGATAAATCTAACGATACTAAAGACTGAAGTACAATAGTGACTTTGGCTTAAACGGGTAGTAAAACGGTTATAAAAAAAATTAGAGTTATTATCTTTTTCTCAGTATGTTATGCCAGACTGCAGTATCACCGAGATACTACTCAAACAAGATAATGATCGAAATTTCAGTCTAATTTCAAAGAGTTTAAATGGTACGTTGGGTAAAAAAATATTGTTAATTAATTAATCCTTCCCTCAGTCGGAAATTTATTCATCTACTAAACCCTGTAGGACGCAGTAATTCAGTTAGCAATCCTGATGATGAATATTAGTTGAAAGTTGTAAACAGAGGGATGGGTCGCAACAGGTTAAACAAATTACCCGGTGCGTTTATCCCGAAAGTGAGAACCTTGGGTTGACATATGTTATCTGAAAAATTCTAGGTATAACAGGACCGACTATTTTGCTTTGCCCAAAATTCACTGGAGGAACCTGTCAAATGCGCAAACCCCTAAGTTTGGGAGTGGTAAATGTTCCTAAAGCTTTAAACCAATTAGCTACAACTTTTATTTTCAATTCATCCCTGGCCGGCTTATGGTGTCTTTATCTTCCTCACGATGAGCGTTTTCTTAATGTAGTAACGTATTACAAAATGGGATAAGGACAAATGTACCGATTGCGTCGTTTGAACTGATAGCGCTCGTCCTCTACATAAGGATCTGTCCATGTAAACCCTATCCCTCTACTGCTCCCATTACAAGTTTATCTCCCATATCTCCCTACAAAGCTCACTGCTACTCTATCTTTCACAGAAGCTGACTGATAAGACCAGTGTTCGTTCTGAGCTTTTGAATGTATTTAGTATTTAATTCATACCTTTACAAGTTCCGTGTTTCACTTCTTTATACCTTTGTGTCAGTGTTGTAAATGTGGTTCTTTTTTAGCGGAAAACTTGTATATAACCTGCTAAAACTTCAATAGGAAATGCAAACGACACCAAAAGCCTGAACATATACAATTTAAATGACCTGTTTGATGGATGCTTTTGAAAAACGTTACATTACCATGGTAAAGAATTTCCGATGATGCCTTCGGTTCATAATGGCGTTCAATGTATTTGGTTTTTAAACTGGACTGTGACTTCATGACTGCTATCGTATTAATATTCTTCCAATAATAAACGCTTTTGAGGTATGATCACACCATTGGTTATTTGTTTATGCGTAGAATTTATCAAACAAATGTACTTCAGGTGCCATCAGAAATTATTAACATTCATAAAGGCACCGTTTTTGTCATCAGCTTCTTCACTGGGTTTAGCAAGACATCCTATGCTTTATGATCATACGTGTCACATCGTTTCCTGATGAAGAATCTCAGTCCCTCCTTACTATGTGAATTAAAATACTTATAAGTGCAAAAGAATATTCTATAATCTTTCTAGTATGGGTTTTATCCTAAACATAAACACTGATTTCTGGTTCACTATTTGATTCCGGTGTTTTCTAACTAAACAACTTAATTCTCCACTCCTGGTACATAAAGTTGACATCACAATTATCTCAATTCATACTAAATTAAAATCGCCCGTAACTTTACAGCACAGGTTTAGGATAAAAACGCTACGTAAGAGGTATCATTTTCCCAGCTTTAACCACAAGGTTATTCCTCAAATGTGTATTAGCTGTTGACTTCTAAATGGACACTTACGACATTGCTTTTCACTTTTCTTCAAAGCGCTTCTCAGGGTATCCCAGGATATCTTTCTTCTTCATTCGTCTACCCGTAAAGTCCAAAATATTTCGAATCATATTGTGATCTGGCGAGCAGGCTGACCAAGAGAGAGCTAAACGGTTTCTCCGTGTGGTTTGTAGTCCTGGTGCTTTTTATGACACNNNTATGACACTTTGGTGTGTTGAACAGCAGATGACTTCAACCCCATAGTCACGAAGACCCGCTGTTCAGTGATGGAAACCTGATAACCTAAGCCCCGGGATTTGGTGTGACGAAAAACATAAGGCACCAATAGATTAGGCGTGATATTTATCCAGGCGACAGCAAAGCTGCCTAACAACAAAGTTGGGTGCTGGTGGCGGGGCGCGAACCTCGGACCATAGGATCCAAAGCACACCGGTTACGGCGACTAAATCACTGCCCCACCACCATCCTGAGAACATTTGTCATTCAGAACTCTACAGAACTAGCTCTGAAAAATATCTAGTGGGGATCACAAAATCATCCATCCGTTCATTTGATCATCCCATCCTTCGCAAACCTGGATGAAACCAACAGTGCTTTGTACAACAGAACGGGTTACAGCACAAAGCACGGACGTTCCAATTTATTACCACAATTATTCTTGTGTTGCAGTATTTCAAGGTTAAAATGGGCTCATCACTCCAGACCACCTGCCGCCACCGTTTTGCATGCCACAGACACCGTCGTATTTTTTCACTGAATGTTTAGTTTCTTGCGGGCTCTTGTATGTAGGTGAACCATTCTTGGACGTCTGGCGTCTAATTCATACTGCTTCAAGTGGCGGGTGAGAGTTTGAATTGAAACCGTTTAACACCATAGTTAGTGCGGGATTGGTTAGGAAAAGAAGTGCTTGATCTTCGGTATTATGAGCAGAAGCTGTTCTTCACTAAACGATGGATCCCGTCTCGTGTTTTTGCATTCGCATTAAGGGTTCTGCAGTTCACCGCCTTGGCTTTCAAGATCTACATTTTCCTATGGTTGGCCCTGGTCTACGCGTGTCTGTAATTCTTAAGATCAGTGTGACATCTTCACGCCGCCAGTAAATCATGTGACCTCGTTTTCAGCTCCGATCACCAGCGGATGAATACAGCTTGCTATTAACGCTGATTTGTTGCTATCTAACGCGAGGGCTTAAAGTCTGTAGCTCACATGATCGGACCAAATCCGTTTGTGACTGACCTCAGAATCCGGCAGTTGGTTTTTAACGATATCATTGTAGAGGCGTAAAACTGTAAGCACTACGAGGTAGGAAACTTTCTCCCCTCATTAGTGAAATCTCAATTGAAATAAACGATTACGATGTGTCGACTACGAAGGTAGGTAGAATTCTTAACACGAGGCCACAGGAAATTACCATGGAACTTTAGTCAACTACGTTACGCCCATATTTCTTTCACTCCGAGGTCACTTGTAAGGACCGCCATCCGAATCAATGTAGGACAAATGAGATTGCAATAGGAAAAATGACAGCTTTAAGCACATCACTTTTTCACCCAGTTAATCAATACAAAAGACGGCCACCAATCTTCAGCGATGAAAAATTGTCAACAAAATGAAAAATCCAGAATTACATATTTTTTATGGACAGACGTTGCCTTGCTGATCAGATCAAAAAGCGGTTCACAGACCAATCTATGCAACGGATGTGCGCATGCATAGCCGTAACGAACTTAAACTTAGATGCAGTGGTTTGACCTTAGACTGACCTTAGTTGGCATACGCATGCCACCTTACGCGTCATTACCT